CCTCATGTAGCCAGGGCCGCCTTATTTGTAGAAAGAGGAAACACATCTGCAGGCGAAGCAACACTAGCAACGCGATACTCTGCTGACCCAGGAACGCGATTTCCAGCGACGGAAGATTCGCGTCTTGCCGATTCAACGGTAGCGATCTCACAAAGGACGGAATCGAATGAAGCAGCATCAATCCGGTCAGTCGCGTTACCAACAGCAGCATCACTACCCGCTACTGTTACACCAGCAAACGGTCTTCTCCCAACAGCAGCAGTATCAGAATCAGAATCAGAAACAGCGTGCTCGTCGTCAATCCCGAGGGCCGTGTTGGACCATTCGCCCTCGCACAGCCTCCCCCAGCCTCTGTAACGGATCCACTAACAGAAAGGGCATTTACCCATGTAATAATAGGTTCTAATACAAACAGAGAGTAGCAGCTCCTGGAAATTACTAAGTCTGAGAGTTGCTAGGAGATGCAGTCACAAACTGTGGAAGGTGAGTTGAGAGAAAACAATCCTATTTCCCAATTGATTAGTTGGGAGTAGGAAGTGAAGAATGAACCAGAAGGCTCAGACCCCTTCCCTAGACCCCCTTGGGGTGCAGCCACCTTCCCCATGGCAAGGAGGGGTGCACTCCCTTGGGCCTTGCCCATGTGGCAACAAACAAGGTTCTCAACCAATTACATTTTAGATAGCAAGGATAGGAAATGCACAGCAATCACAAACCTGTGTTTGATGTTTATTGGTTGTGTTTGAAGTGAGCGGCGGAAATGTTGTCGACTCACTTCTGAGGCTGTGTTCTGATTGGTCGAATTAGGTCTGAGTTGCACTTACGCGGGTTGTGTTTGATCCAACTTGAACCAATTACGTGGGTTCAATTCATTAGCAATTTCGATTGGTTGGTTTCCCAATCAACCCACAATTCCCCGCAAGTCTCGCTTCTTCCTGTTTTCTCAACCAATCATATTTCCCCCCAAATCCCCCTCTCAGCTGGTTCGACGTATCGAGACCAGGTGGGGGTTGGGTCCGAATGTTACACTCCTCCCCCTCCAGCTGGCAACGTCCTCGTTGCCGTGGGGTGCTTCTTAGGACGAGTGCTACGAGCACGACGAACCACATTACGACCAGGGTCAACACCATCCGCTGGTTGTGGGAGTGCTCGCTGAGCCAGGTCTTCCATGTAAGACTGAACTGCAGTATCAGTCAAATGTTCTTCCGGCTCCCATGAGTTGTGTTCAGGCCCATAGCCTTTCCACTTAATGAGAAACTCTCGTACAGTCTTGCGGCCGCGCTGTCGATCACGATGCAAAAGCACTCGTTCGACTTCATAGTACAGTTCCTCCCCTAGGACGATTGTTGGTGGTGGTAAGTACTTGCCTTCTGCAACGTACTTGCTTAACAGAGACACATGGAAGACATTGTGAATCTGCAGGGTATCAGGTAACTTGAGCTTGTAAGCTACCGCACCAACTCATTGAATCACCTCGAAGGGCCCAATCTAGCGAGGGAACAACTTTCTCGCACCAGGGATCTTAAGCGGAATATTTTTCGTGCTTAACAAAACTTTGTCTCCAACGGAGAATGAGACTTCCCGGCGTTTCATATCGGCATAGGATTTTTGCCTTTGTTGGGCTAATTGCAGCCAACGACGTGCCGACTTTAGGGCCTCTCGTTGCTTGCCCACAAAATCCTTTGCGGCAGGTAATTTTAAACCGCCGATCCCATGCGTAGCAGGTGTTGTGGGATGCCGACCACAGTTCAGGATAAATGGTTTTTCATGTGTGCTATCATGCACTGAGTTGTTAACCGCAAACTCGACCATGGGTAACAACTCGTCCCAATTGTCATGTGTTGGGCTTATGAAAGAACGAAGCATCTGCTCGAGAGTGCGGTTAGTCCGTTCCGTTTGCCCATCTGTCTGGGGATGGAACGCTGACGACATCTTAAGCTTCGTTCCTAGTGTCTCGGTTACTTCACGCCAGAATCGGCTCGTGAAGCGCGGGTCGCGATCAGACACTAATACACGTGGCAATCCGTGTAGACGGAACACATGTGTCACGAACAACCGAGCAGTATCCTCTGCTGATACGTCTGTTGTCGTAGGTACGAAGTGCACCATTTTTGTAAGGCGATCTACAAAGACGAGTATCGCCGTATACCCATCACGGGTTCTTGGGAGGTCGGTGATGAAATCCAGTGAAACGCTTTCCCAAGGTTCACTCGGAATTTCAAGTGGTTGAAGCAAACCACCAGGCTTCTGTGTGTTCGGTTTGTTACGTGCGCACGTGTCACAACGTGCCACAAACTGTTGGACATCACTACCGACTCTTGGCCACCAATACACATCACGTAGGGCCCACCGGGTCTTATTTATGCCCAAGTGTCCCCCATATTTAGTGGCATGCACCTCTTCCAAAACATCGTTCCGCAGATTGCCTACATGAGGTACCGCAATCTCTTTTGTTCGCCACCAAAGATCGTGTTCCCATGTCAAATGTCTGGTGTTTTGTGGGTTCTGGAACCAGGAATCTATATGATATCCTGTACGAATTCGTTTCAGAAAACCACTGAACGCGATCTCGCTCACTTTCGCCGCAGCTAGTATGCCAAAACAGGCAGCAAAAACAGCCGCATGTTCGGTATCGTCAAGCCCAGTTGCTGCCCCTATCGGCTGTCTGCTGAGGGGGTCAGCCAGGTTTGTGGAACCTGCACGATAACGAATGTCGAAACTGAACCCACTAAGGAGTTCAGCCCAACGGGCCTGACGGCGAGTGAGGGTAGCTTGGGTAGAAAAATATGTGTTCGGGCAATGGTCAGTGGTGACCACGAACTCTACCCCTTCCAAGTAACATCGCCATGTTCTTAGCGCATGCACGACAGCCAACAACTCTTGTTCGGTCGGCGTGTAGCGTTGCTCTGCCGGGGAGAGTTTTCTACTCTCAATTGACACAGGGCGTCCTTCTTGCAGGAGTACTGCACCAAGTCCCACCGTTGAGGCGTCCGTAACCACCTCATATGGTTTCTGTGGGTTTGGCAACACCAAAACTGGTGCGTTCGTTAATTTATGCTTGACCTCTTCGAAGGCCTTTTGGCACTGTGGAGTCCACTCCCATGCATACCCTTTCCGGGTCAATGCCGTGAGGGGAGCGACTATCGTGGAATAATTTTCCAAGAAGCGACGAAAATAATTCGCCAGGCCCAAGAATGATCGAACTTGGCCAACGTCGTATGGGACGGGCCACTCTTGGACAGCTGCTACCTTCTTGGGGTCCACTTTCAACCCGTTATGCCCCACCACGTGCCCCAAATACTCCAGCTCACGTTTGTAAAAATGGCATTTCCACAAACGTGCGTAGTATTTGTGCTCGCGTAATTTTTCGACCCATTTCAGATGTTCCGTATGCTCGTCTTCGGATTTTGAGTATACCAGGATATCATCGAGGTACACCAAGACGAACTGGCCAATCGCATCACGAAACACATCGTTCATCGCCCTCTGGAAAGAGGCCGGAGCGTTGGTCAAGCCAAAACTCAACACACGCCACTGAAAATGGCCGAACGGCGAACGGAAAGCCGTCTTTGGAACATCGTCCTCTGTTATACGCAATTGGTGATAGCCTTGAGCCAAATCCAGTGCACTGAACCATTGCGCACCCTGTAGTCGATCAAATAGATCTTCTATCCGCGGAAGTGGATATCTTTTTTTTATCGTTATTTTATTCAGGGCTCGATAATCGACGCACATGCGCAGTCCACCCCCCTTCTTGTGAACGAACAAGATAGGTGCTCCATATGGGGACGCGCTGGGTTCTATCCATCCCTTCCTGAGGTATTCCTCAATTTGTTGCTTAGCCTCCTCGTACTCAGCTGGACTGAGGCGATACAGAGGTCTAAACGGTGGTGCCTTTCCTGGTTCCACCGGGGTGGTGTGGCCAACTGCACGGTCGGGAGGTAACCCGTCCGGAATTGGTTCGAAAACCTCGGAATATTCCTCTGCCAACGCCTTCATTTGAGGTGGGAAGTCCTCAATAATCTGTGAAGGGGTTGGTTCAGAGTCTAGCTGTACAACAAAAAGTGTATCAGCTCCCTTGACATGCTCTTTGAATTGGAGAGCCGACGCAAAGCGCACATCAAGAGCCAGGCTTTGAGGTTCGTCGTCCAGTGCATGGCGCTTTGGGACTTGCCATTGGAACGTCGTCCCATTCTTTGTGAATGAAAGCGTGTTATCTTGGAAACTTAATATCACCTCATTAGGCCGCAGCCAATCCATTCCCAAAACAATGTCTACGCCTGCTAGGAGGGGTAAGACAAAAACGCTGATGGTCTCCTGATATCCTTGGATATCCAGGTTGACCAACGCATGTCCTCTGCATGGAATGATCATGTCATCCCCTAGACGGATAGAACAAGATGGTCCTTGAACAGGAACATTCAAATATCCCATCCACTTCTCATCGATCAATGACGCAGTTGCTCCTGTATCAACCAGGATCGAGGCACTGCGCCCATTTACGCGACCCGAAAACAAAAGGTTTTGTTTGGGTCGAATAGGACATGCTGTAATATCAGTGGGAGGCAAATAGTATGCCTTAATGCCGTGTTTGCTGCGTCCAAAAGAACGAGCTTGTGTCCACCACACATGGTGTCCCTTATCCCACTGCGCTAACACGCTCCATCCTTGAAGTGCTCGAAACAATTTACCTCGAACTGTGCGCGTTACCATTCCAACCGCAGTTAGAGGGTGCGCTTGGGTGCAACGACCCACCACATCCATTATCCAAGGCAAATTTTGGTGATCACAAAATATTATTGAGAATTTATCTCGTAATGATTCAACTGTGATATTTTCTAGTGGGTGAAATCGAGAGGCAAACAAAGAGCTTTCATTAAAAGAAAATGCATACACACATGCAATTTTGCAATCAACAAGGCACTCGAGTTTCAACAACTCCTCATCCCGCAGGACCACTGCCTCATCCTCTCGATCTACTATGCCCGCTAGGTACCCACCCCCTAGTTGGGCTTTGCAAAATCCCGCTGGCCACCCGAGGGGCCACTGCCATCATGGCGCTTGTTGTCCGTCTTGGGCTTGCCAGAGTACTTCACCGACTTGCGGTGGCGGCACTCGTAGCCCTTCTGTCCAGGCTTGCCGCACTTGAAGCAGCTCTGGACATTGCTTGGTCCACCCTCGTTGACCTTCTTGGCCTTGTGGTCAGCCTGCTGTCCCTGCTGGAAAGGCCTCTTGTGGTTCCCGCCCTTCCAAGGCGCCTGCTGCCTTCCGCCAGGACCCGCAGGGCTGCACGACGGCCTTGAGGCCTGCTGCGGCTGGGTAGTAGTTTTCGCATAAGCACGGAAATGCTTATCAGTGGTCCCCACCACGCGCTTCACGTGATCATAGGACCTCCACGACTCCCCAGCCCCATCCGTCATGTGCATGCTCTGGAGGTGCTCAGGCAAGCCCTTGAAGAAGAGGTGGATCTTCTCGCCTTCGCTCATACGTTCCGCCGGTTTCTGCAGCACCCAGATCTCCTCGAACTCCACAGCGTACTGCTGAACTGTGCGGTTCCCGCACTGCAGCTTCTCAAGGCGGCTGCGCACCTCCAGCTGGGTCGGCTGGACCTGGAAAGCTTGCTTGAGTGCAGAGGCGAATTCCTCCCACCCAAACGGCTTCCTATCCGCCTCAGCCTGGAGCTTGCTGCCATACACCACTCGGTGTGCATTCTGGTCCAGCACGGTGGTGGCAGCGATGACGCGAGCGTCGTCATGGACCTTGTGAGCCTTGAACAGGTCGGACATCATTGACAACCATGCCGCCACGTCCGTCTTGCCATGGATGAATGGCGGCAGGGTAATCGGCAGAGAGCCAAAAACCTGCGTGTTTGGCTCAGCAGCGCGCTGCGTAGAAGGTCCGGGGTCACCCGCCACGCCACCAGAGCGAGAAGGGTTGGTGCGACCGCTAGCAGAGTTGGCAGGCGGGTCCGCTCGTGGTGCAGGGCGATACATGGTCTCCCTCCGGAAGGCACTGAAAGCCTCGCGCAGCTCGTTGATCTTTGAGGTCTGTCTCGCCAGCTGATGAACGTGCTCCCGTGCGTCGTGCTTCATGTTCTTGAGCTCAACTTCCAGGTACTTGATTTTGTTGTCCTGGTTAGCAAGCTCCCCCCTGAGGTTGGTAATGAGTGACTGCTGCTGCTGGATGCGCGTATCCTGCTCAGCAGCATGATCCTGCAGCTTAGAAATTTCAGCATGCAGAATATCCTCTTCCCCTTCCAACTCAATGTCATCCTCCTGAGACCCCTCTTCCTGCTCCTTGGAATTTTCTGCAGCTGGAGGGTCCTTAGCAGGGGAGTCAACAGCAGGCTCCTTTTCAGCCATTTCCTCATCCATGTTGTTCAAGTCAATCTTCTGCACACAAGCCTCCAGTTCAGCATGGGAGTTGTTGCCTTCAACACCACCAGCATTGGAGTTGGTAGAAGCCATTTAGAGCAAAGTCACTGTATTATAAAAATGAGTTACAGATCTACTGCAAATTGTTATCACCGCAGTGAATAACCAAGATTTTCTCCAAAGGAGAAATTTCTTCAATAGATCTTACAACCACAGCAATGTGAATAACCAATCTGTTGCAAAATATCCTTACCACCGCAGTGGATAAGGCAAGAGCATTCACAATGTGATTGTCTTCAACAGAATGGATTAATCCACACAGGTTGCAACTTCTTCACAGTGGCTCCAGTAGTTCCACCAGCAGGGAGGGAGGGAGGGAGCAGAATACTTGGAGAAGCTTGTAGATCTTGAAAAACTTAAGCTTGAGTAGCTTGTAGTCTTCACAAGTTTATAATATGGAGATTACAATGAAAATCACAACTCCTCCAAGAAGAAGAAAAAGAAAAATCCTCTTAGATGCCCACAAGGCGAGGATCTACTTGTAGCTCTGATTACCAATGTAACGGATCCACTAACAGAAAGGGGATTTACCCATGTAATAATAGGTTCTAATACAAACAGAGAGTAGCAGCTCCTGGAAATTACTAAGTCTGAGAGTTGCTAGGAGATGCAGTCACAAACTGTGGAAGGTGAGTTGAGAGAAAACAATCCTATTTCCCAATTGATTGGTTGGGAGTAGGAAGTGAAGAATGAACCAGAAGGCTCAGACCCCTTCCCTAGACCCCCTTGGGGTGCAGCCACCTTCCCCATGGCAAGGAGGGGTGCACTCCCTTGGGCCTTGCCCATGTGGCAACAAACAAGGTTCTCAACCAATTACATTTTAGATAGCAAGGATAGGAAATGCACAGCAATCACAAACCTGTGTTTGATGTTTATTGGTTGTGTTTGAAGTGAGCGGCGAAATGTTGTCGACTCACTTCTGGGGCTGTGTTCTGATTGGTCGAATTAGGTCTGAGTTGCACTTACGTGGGTTGTGTTTGATCCAACTTGAACCAATTACGTGGGTTCAATTCATTAGCAATTTCGATTGGTTGGTTTCCCAATCAACCCACAATTCCCCGCAAGTCTCGCTTCTCCCTGTATTCTCAACCAATCAGATTTCCCCCCAAATCCCCCTCTCAGCTGGTTCGACGTATCGAGACCAGGTGGGGGTTGGGCCCGAATGTTACAGCCTCACATCGCTCCGCAGGGAAGCAGCACCGCCGTCGCCCCAGCCCCGGCGATCCGATGCCCGGGATACTTCGCTACAAGATCCGAACTCGGTATAAGCTCAGACCTCGGTATAATATCGGAATCAGGCCCAAACGGTTACAGTACACTCTAGGAATTAGGCCCAGGCGGCCCAAATTCAACCACCAGCACGCAGGCAGCGGCGAATGGGAAACAAAACCCATTCGGTACAGTCACATCCGCAGGCGCTGCTGCAGCCGTGGCTGCGTTACAAGCACGCAAGCACTGGGTGAGCATGCTACAGGAAGGGTTACCCCAGGCGGCGGTTGTGGTGCTACGGGTGCTGGTGGTGGTGGCGGCTGCTTGGAGCGCGTGTGCTGTGATGCTCTCCTCCCTCGTTATCATGCCCTGGCTCATGCTCCACCTCTCCTCCGCCTCCCACCCGCACTTCCGCGCCCTTCGCTTCAATCACACCTCCTTTAAGGCACTTTCTGCTGCTCGAGGGGAGAATGCACAAAGAAGCGGAGGAGGAGGAGGGAGTGTGGGGGCGAGTTGGTGGGTAGTGAGAAAGAGGGAGGTGTGCAAGGCGAAGAGCGGGGAGGGGTGTGCGATTTTTGGCGAGGGGATTGGCAGATGGAGAGGGAGGGGTATCTGCTATGCGGCACCTGATCAAGCAGATGAGACAGGCACCTGACTTTAGAACAGTCATAGCACCTGATTAAGCACCTGATGCAGGAAGTGGCCAGTCAGGAGCTATAACAGCTGCATTCCTTCATTCCAACCCACCGGCCGTTGAGACAGTGCTTTCAATACTTTCCCTTGCCATTCATTCGTTTTTCCAATCTCGGATGTGCCATGCCACAATCATAGTGTTAGCTCATCATGTTACCACCACCATTTGTTGACACGTCACAGATGCTGCAAGGCAGCAGAGCTTACAGCTGACCTTAATGTAGCTGTGCATGGTCATACAGCCCCTACCCCTTTGGGTAGAGGAGGCTTTGCGTTTCACATCCTACATTTCGTCTCGAACTGACCCATATAACCCCTCTGCCCCTTCTGCCCTCTCTGCTCCCTCCGCCTCTTCTGTCTCTTGTGTCCCTTCTGTCCGCTGTGCCCCTTGTTGTCAAACATTAGATATATGTTATTGCTGTGTAGGCTATAGTGGGTTAGCCTTTAGGGGGTACACAACTCTAGGGTTTCATACTTGTACTCCATTTTCTCATAGTTCAATCACTTCTCATTCTTGACATGGTATTAAGAGCTTAGGTTCTAGACCTAGGACTCACCTAAGGGCCCACCGTTAGAAGCGCCCTCGAGCGCCATATCGACCTAGCGCCCTCGAGCGCCTTTCTCCTAGTGCGCCCTCGTGCGCCTCTTCTTCTCCTGCTGCCCGTGCGCGGCTCGCTATTGCCGCGCGCGGCCTTTTTTTTCGCACGCGTCGCCCGCTAGCAGCCCGCGCGCGGCCGCTTTTGCGCGTGCGCCGCCCGTTAGCCGCCCACGCCACCACGAGCAGCCCACTAGCCGCCCGTCGACCGGCCCTCCTGGCCGCGCGTAGCCCGCTAGCGACCGGCAGCCCCGCCCGTAGGCCGCCGCGTCGCCCTCTAGGCCGCCGCCCGCGCGCTAGTCAGGCCCACGCACAGCCACGGCTCGCCCGCTACAGCCGCCCACACGCACGCCCCCCGTCGCGCACCGCCGCGTAGCCCAGCCCGAGCCGAACCGCGCCGCCCGAACCGAGCCGCGCAGCCCGGACCGAGCCGAGCCGCCCTGGCCGAGCCGCGCCGCCCTACTGTGCCCCACCTGCAGCAACTCCTGTTCCTGTTCCTGCCGTACTACTGCTTCAGCTGCCACTGTTACTACTACTGCTACTACTGCTACTGTTCCTACTGCTGCTACTGCCACTATGGCCACTCCCTCTGTTCTCACCTTTGACGCTGAGGGCCGCCCGATTAAGTTTGCCGTTTGGTTAGATGACCTCCACCTGTTCCTCCAGATCACTGCCAAGGACGATGTCTCCCTGTATAACCACACGTCAGGCGCCGCTCCCGCACCTGCCACTACTGCTGACAGTACTGCTCGCTCCCAGTGGCAGACCCGTGATGCTCACGCTCGCCTAGCCGTTCGCAGCCACCTGCCGTTAGATGAGCGCGAACACTTCGGCCAGCATAAGACCGCTAAGGAGCTGTACGACGCAATAGTCGCGCGCTACTCCTCCCCTGCCACTGCTGCTATATGCCGTCTCTCACTGCCCTACCTCTTCCCCGACCTGTCCGCCTTTGCCACGGTAGCTGACCTCATCACCCACCTCCGTACCAGTGACCTCCGCTACCGTGCCGCGCTCCCCCCCGATTTCCTCGCCAAGAACCCCCCCCCGATGTACCTCACACTGTACCACCTTGTCACCCGCCTCCCTGACTCCCTTCGCACTGTCAGGGACCAGTTTCTCGCCCTCTCCCCCACTGACCTCACTGTCGACCTCCTCGAGAAGGAACTCCTAGCAGCTGAGAAGAGCATTGTAGCTGTAGGTGCCTCTCGTGGTGACCCCCGCTCCCCCTTCTTTGAGGGGTGCTCCCCCTCCCCCCTCCTCCCCTCCATTGCATCTGCTGCTGCTGTCGACTACCTCGGCGCTGAGGGGGTCGGGGCCGCGTCTGCTCCTAGTGGGAGGCGCAAGAGCGGCAGGTGCAAGGGGGGCAGGGGTGGTGGAGGTGGAGGCGGGGGCGGCGGCGGTGGAGGGGGTGGGGGGGGCGGGGGTGGTGGCGGCGGTGGGAGTGGCGCGGGTGGTGGGGGGGTCAGTGGCGGCACAGGGGGTGGTGGCGGCGGCAGTGGTGGGGGTGGTGGGGGCGGTGGTGGCAGTGGTGGCGGCGGTGGAGCGGGTGGCGGGCGCGGTGGAGCGGTGCAGCGTGGAGGGTTCGGCGGTGGCCAGAGGCAGCAGCAGTAGCGTCCCGGCGAAACTCCTTCGCCCCAGCAGCTCCGTGAGTGGTACTCTCGCAGTGGGGGGTCTGGGGGTGGAGGTACCTGCCCGTACGTCATCCGCACAGGTGACCGCACTGGCCAGACCTGTGGGAGGTTCCATACGGCGCAGCGCTGCTTCTTTCGTCTCGACGATGCCTGGCGTGAGCAGTTTCCTGACGCCACTGAGCTGCCCCGCTGGGCTAATCTGCTTAGGAAGAACATTGATATCTTTGCTCTTGACTTTGATGCTATCCTTGGTGCCATGTATGCATTGACTATTAGGGTTGAGGGTGACTGTTACCTGAGTGTACCGCCCGACCCGGGCATTGGGACCAGTGAGACGGCTCCTCCAGGTGCTAGTGCGTCTGCTGCCCTAGGTCCTGGTGAGGCTGCTGCGCTTGGTGCTCGTGCGTCTGCTGCCCTAGGTCCTGGTGAGGCTGCTGCTCTTGGTGCTAGTGAGTCTGCTCCCCCAGGTGCTAGTGCGTCTGCGCTTGCTGGTACTGGGTCTACTGAGGCACTGCACACCTTTACACTCGACTCGGGTGCTTCCCGCTGTTTCTTCCGTGACCGCACTGCCCTTGAGCAGCTAGCTCGGCCAGTTGCTGTCTCCCTCGCTGACCCCTCTGGGGGCCCGGTCCTTGCGACCTCCTCCACTGTCCTCCCTTGTCCTGCGGTCCCGTCCGGCACCCTGTCGGGTCTGTACCTCCCCTCGTTCTCTACGAACTTGGTGGCGGGCTCTGCTCTTCAGGACGGGGGTGTTCACCAGTTCACCCCTGCCTATGAGCGTGTGACCCACTGTACGTGTGCTAGGATAGGTCGCCACCTAGCTACCTTCACTCGGCAGCCGGGGTCGGACCTGTACACACTGACCACTGAGTCCCCTCAGGTAGCTGCGTCTGCGTCTGCGTCTGCGTCAGGTCAGCTGTCGGCCCCCTGCTCGTGTCGCTCCCTGTCGCACCAGACAGTTCTCTGGCACCACCGTCTTGGTCACCCGTCAGTGCAGCGCCTTCGTGGCATGCACTCCAGGTACCTTGTCTCTGGTCTTCCCAGGGTTCTCCCTCCCCTCCCGCCCTTGCCTGCTCCTCCCTGTCTTCCCTGCGTCGAGGGGCGGCAGCGCGCCGCTCCTCACTCCTCCTTGTTCCCTCCCACAGAGGCTCCCTTGCAGACACTCCACCTGGACGTGTGGGGCCCAGCCCGCGTCCGTGGACAGGGCCACGAGCGGTACTTCCTGCTGGTTGTCGATGACTACACGCGCTACACCACGGTCTTCCCCTTGCGCACCAAGGGTGAGGTCCCTGATGTTTTGATCCCTTGGATCCGCGCTGCTCGTCTCCAGCTCCGCGAGCGGTTCCAGTCGGACTTTCCCGTCCTGCGTCTGCACTCTGACCGAGGTGGTGAGTCTTCCTCCGACCTCTTGGCAGCCTACTGTGCGGAGCACGGCATCCGCCAGACGTTCACGCTTCCGGCCTCTCCACAGCAGAATGGGGTTGCTGAGCGCCGCATTGGCTTAGTCATGGAGATCGCTCGTACCTCCTTGATCCATGCGGCTGCCCCCCATTTCCTGTGGCCGTTTGCAGTCCAGTACGCTGCGCATCAGCTCAACCTCTGGCCCCGTGTCTCTGCTCCAGAGACCTCGCCCACACTGCTGTGGACGGGGCAGGTTGGCGATGCGTCGCGTTTCCGGGTCTGGGGTGCTCGTGCCTTTGTCCGCGATACCACTGCGGACAAGCTCTCCGCCCGCGCTGTGCCCTGTGTCTTCCTTGGCTTTGTCCCCGACGCGCCTGGTTGGCAGTTTTACCACCCCACCTCGCGCCGTGTCTTCCCCTCTCAGGACGTCACCTTTGACGAGTCGGTACCCTTTTACCGTCTGTTCCCCTACCGCACTGCTCCGCTCCCTCGCCCGCCTCTCTTCCTCACGCCAGGTGCCCCTTCGGTAGACCCCCTCCCTCCCCAGGGTCCTGCTCCCTCAGGTGCTTCCCAGGTAGACGCAGTCGAGCCTGTCGAGGTAGCTGTTGACTCTGGTCCTGAGAGGGGTGCTGAGACTAGGGGTGCTGAGCCTGGGGATGCTGAGACTGGGGGTGCTGAGCCTGGGGGTGCTGAGACTGAGGGTGCTGAGCCTGGGGGTGCTGAGCCTGGGGGTGCTGAGCCTGGGGGTGCTGAGCCTGGGGGTGCTGAGCCTGGTGGTGCTCCCCCTTCACAGCAGCTGCGTGAGTGGTACTCTCAGCGTTGCGGCCTCCGGCGTGGGGCTACTGGAGCTGCGGGTACTGTGTCGCGGCCGGAGCCTCCCTCCCCTCAGCGGCTACATGAGTGGTACGCTCGGCGCTGCAGCCTCCGGAGTGGAGCTCCTAGTTTTGAGGTGCCGCCTGCTGGAGGCCCTGCTGCTACTGGAGGTGCTGCTGGTGCTACTGGAGGTACTGGAGCTGCTGGAGGTACTACTAGTACTGGTCCTGCTGGAGGTGCTGCTGGTACTGCTGGAGGTCCTGGAGCTGCTGGCGGTGCTGCTGGTGCTGCTGGAGGTACTGGAGCTGCTGGAGCTACTAGTGGTGCTCCTGGTCCTGGGACTGGTGGTGCTGCAGGAGCTGGTGCTACTGGAGGTACTGGCGTTGACCCTACTGGAGGTGCTGCTGGTGCTGCGGGAGTTGGAGCTGCTGCTGGGGGTTCTGGTGCTGTCTCTGCTGTTTCTGGGGGCACGTCACGGCCGCGGCCGTACTTCGTTCCGCTCTTTCAGCAGGTTCTTGGTCAGCCGCCTCCTCCTTG